TGGAGTGGGAGAGAAGAAAAGAGGATTGAGGAGGGGGTGGGGGAAGAAACTTGATTTCTTTAATAACCTCAATTAAAAGAGCAAGACACATATATATTTTTAAAAAGGAGCGTTTTGAATTGGATAGCCCGAAAGGTGAAGAGGTTTAATAGGATACTTGAAAGCTAATTACAGCGGGATTTAAGAAGCCTGGTGTTTGTTCCGATGACAATTTGAATGAAAATGCTTCAGATTAAACCGAGCCAGCAGCTCTTTCGTAAACTTACAGCAATTAGAGCTGCGAGTGATTTACACTCGTTTCTTTAAGGTGTAAATTGCCACTTACTGCTCAGTAAGTCAACATTTGAGCTACTAGAGAATTATTTTTAACCAGCGCAAAAAGCGGGTCGAATAATGGAAAATATCCAGCTGAATTTAATTTGTGCCATTAAAACTCACCCAACCTCGGTCAAACTGTTTTAAAGCAACAGCGCGCATTACTCAAGTGTTCCCAAGCCTTTACTGGAGTTTTGTTCCTAAACGAAAACGCAGCCTCTCCTAGGCTTTTTCTGCCTTCGTTTACGAAAACTCCTGTTTGCGCTGAGGGGGTGCCGAACTCCGGCGGCCCACACCTGCGTTTCTGACTCTTCGCCTCCCTCGTCCTCCTTCTGGCTGCACCAGACGAGATACTGTCCGAACCTGGGAGTCCCCCGGCCCTCAGCGGGGACCCTCCGGTGCGCTCCCTGGGCTGGACCCAGCGCCGCCACACGGAGGCCGCATCCTCGCAGACATGAGGAGAGTTTAAGCGATAAAGCCCCGCGTTCGCCGGGTGTTCCCCGCCACCGTCCCAGCAAAGATCAAGTCAGCGGTATCCGGTGCGGGACCCTCTGCCGCGCTCGAACAGGCTGCAGATGATTTTCAAACTTAAAACGCGAGACACCCACGGGTCCTGCCTCCAGAGTGACGTGAGAGCTTGTCAGTTTTCCCCCACTTACTAGACTAGACGAAAGGTGTGATTCGCGTGCCCTGGGGGTTGTTGTTGTTGTTTTTTGGTATTTTAAGTAAAATGGCCCTCTTGGCCCTCCCTGGGATGCCCCAGGGCCTTCCAGGAGCCACGACTTCTTGTGTTTGTGCGTGCGCCCGCGTCAGCGCGGGTCGCGCTGCGGCGGGTTCCGCGCCTTTGCGCGGGCCAGTGCCCGCGGGCAGCTGCACGCACGGAGCCAAGCCTCTACTCCCACCCGACAGCCGCCCGGACCTCCCGACACGCTCTTCCCCACCGCCAAGATCAATCACCACGGCAAATAGAACAAAAGCAAGACTCACATGTACCCGAGAACGCCTTAGGCTCGAGGCTTCGTCTCCCAAATTACAGTCTCCATGCCTCAGGTTAAGTGAGCTTGTGGGGAGGGGAGGCAATGATTACTGACTAACGCTACTACGTAATAATAAAAAAAAAAAAAAATTGCCAGGTCTGAAGTCGAGGCCGTTAC